TGTGTGAGAATGTGTGTTTTGTGTGTGTGCAGGAGATTTTGCAAGTTCGTTTGCATCCTTCCTCTCTACAGTGACACATTGAGACTGATATGACATACTGAAATTGCTGAAGTGTAGCACAAAAATAACCTACATTTGTTTTCCTTGTCAATCAGTATGAACAAAGCAAATAAACTATGTGAACAAGAAAACCCTCTTTCTTTTCTCTGTTCATTTAAGAGTAGGGCAGTGATCTAGAGCCCATTCTGGAAAAGTGATATATTATAACCACTAATTTTATTTATTTTACCAATAACATCCAATCACTCATTTGTTTGAATATTGTGGTATAGAATAGTGACTAATCACTTAGGAAAATGGATGAAGTAAGTTGACAATATCCTGAAATACTGTCTATTTTTCCTACAGATAATAATTTAATAGGGTCATTCCATTATAATCATTAATGTGGATATGCTTTACATGAATAAAAAGTGCATATGTATCTACTTTGAAAGCATATGTACCTACTTTGAAAGACTGGGTTACTGTAGTACTTCGTATGGGAAATCTTCCTCATCATACCCAAGATGACAAAAAGTCTAAAGTGTATAAAATATTAGATGCAATGTGGATTGAGAATCATGGATAAATGTAATTTCCATTTTTCTATTTATTGTTAATGCTTCTTTTCTCACCTATAGCATAGACTCAAACAAATAAAGCTTTGCAGATTTTAAATAGTCTCTGTGACCTCCAAAAAATTACCTGGAATAGAATAAAATAAGATACATTTATTTCATGTAAGACTACAGAGCTGCAGTTTCTGCAAGCTGATATAGGAACTGGTTTCTGCAGGAGTTAATCAGGTATCTGTGTTTGCCATCTCCTTCCTCTTCCCTTTGGTTGAAAATGCTTCTCACTGGTCTCTGCACCCCATTGTAGGCGCTAAACTGGTAGAGAACTAACCCTAAAAGAGGGGAAATTTTTCTTCCAGTTCAAATCCCTGTTGTACCATCTTCACTATCAAATGACAGTGTTCATGCAAGCAGGGGATGAATAAATGCTGGACAAGACACAAGGGATCTTCTTTTGCTTCCAGTAGCTCTTAGTCATTAGATGGATTTAACTGTATCACCCAGCTGTGCTGCTGTCTTTGCAGAGAGCATACAATAGGGCCTTTTTGATTTTTTCCCCTGCTATTTATATGTGCCTACTGCAATGATGGGTATCCTGAAGATAGAAACATAATAAAGCTGTGACTTAATTCTTTTAGCTCTTGGCAACATGATTTCTTCTTCTTTGCTAATGGCCAGTATATGTGTTGATGCATGATCAGTGCAACTTTCAGGAAAGAAAAGATCCAAATGACTGAGCAGATGGGTGACAGGAATAAACATCAGTGTTTAAGTGTTGAGGCTAGGAAAGGTGATCATGATGAATGATGCTTTTCAGAAGATTTTCTTGATTTGCATTCAAGGTTTGCATTCCCACACTAAATACCTTATATTCATATTTTTGAGTTGAATTATAAAATAGCAATCTAGAGTAGTAACTTCCATTCTTCCCTGGGGTAATCTTCCCACAGAAGTAGAGGAGTAAGGGTCATAACTTAGAGTGAGATGCACTTTGCCAATGCAACTGAAATTTTATTCACCTGAAGGAAAGAAATATAAAGGTTCCTTCCTACCATGAAGGAATAAGAAAAGTTTTATCTAAAATGAAGACTAGTAATTGTTTAGTTTTATTTTTTCCAGGAGCATGATACTGATCACTGAAGTTTCTAGTTCTGATTTATGAGATAGGTATTCATGATTTCTCTACAAGAAAAAAGTCTGTAAAAGTGGCAGGTTAATTACAGCACATGCCATTAATGAGTCAGATAGGTTATTTCTGTTATTTTCCAAGCTCCAGTCTCATGATACACAGTTAGATCTTCTGGAACATAATTTATATGTGTATTATGTTATGTACAATCATTAGGAAAACTTTACAACCTGTACACATAAAGACCTCAGAGTCTCTTTCTTCAGTCCCTCTTCACACTGATTGCAGAAAGGATTGCTTGCATTAGCAGCAAATGAAATACTTTTGCAGTGGTTTTTAATAACTAATTTCTGTGGGATTACAGAAATGACATTCGGTTCTTCAAACAATTTCTGCAGAGCAAGCAGCCTACTTTGAAATCTGTGCTAGGACGAAAAGAAACAAAACCAAAATGTGAATCACCCAAAGTATTATCCTCCTTTTGTGGAATGATCCAGTGGCTTAATGAGGGTAATTTGTTTTAGATTGTGGGGAATTCTTTATCTACTGTATAGAAGCTTTAATTTCACGTGGATATGACAGAACCTGTACTTGCTGCACTGGAGCTTAATTATTTGATAGCATAAGGACCTGAAATCCCTACTTTTCCTCTCAAAGAATTTTCATGGAATTTTCTAGATGGCAAATAGAAACTAGAGGATGGTTAGCTAAGATTTCTCAATGTTTGAAATGTCTTTGTATATTTTTCTAAGATGTTTTTGCTTTATACCCAGAAAATTTCAAAGCATCTTTATTAAAGATCCCCCAAATACTATTGATAGTATGTGGTTATTTTTTGTTCTCTTCCATTTTTTATATGTATTTTGACCCTTTGAAATGCTTTTCTTTACTGTACATGAATATGAATGCTTCATTTCATTGCACTCTTTTTCCAGAAGTCTTACAATGCTTATTACTACAAAGGAGGCATTCAAAATTTTTTGTCTCTGTGTGAAAACTTCGCTCACAGAATTTTACAATATCTCTTTTAACTGGTTTCCATTCCTGATGGCTAATTTTGTACATGGTACTTTGTTTTCCCTTAGTGGTTATATTACGGCGTTTGTGTAGACACAGTAAAGCAGTATAAAGTTATATGATAAGAGAGTGAGGACACAAAATTTCAGGATGAGTGATATACAGAATACAAATTAAAACTAATATAGTGAAAAAAGTAAGTGGTTTGAAGTTCTTATCCTACCACTAAATTTACTTTCTTTTGTAGATTTGGTGTCTAGGGTTTTTTATGTACCTTTCATAAAATGAAATTTAGTGAATTTGTGTTAGGGTAAGTGGATATAAGATATGTAATTCCTATCAAAATGAAAGATAATGTGAATCTGCAAAAGTGGGATATGTTTGTTCTACTATATATTATACATGCCCAATATATCCTAGGATATTTTTTCTTCTTATTCACAAATAAAGAACTTTACAAGCATTTTATTATGAAAAAAATGAATGTATTTATTTAAATTGCTTTATTGGCATATATAGCAGTGGAATTGTTTGGAAAATAATTAAAAGTAATTTTTAGGGCAGCCTGTGCTAGTAGCTGTAAAAATATTTGCTCAATGTCATTAAAGGTATAAAATAACAGAGATTGCAAAGTTCAGACAGATAGTATGAATTACTTTCCTCATCCTCTACTGAATTAAAAATTACAGTTATAAAGTGAAGAAAATCAGTGTTTGTGTATAAAGAGATTTTTTTCCTCCTAGATTTTTGATTTAAATGTAACATTTCAGCATATCAAAATAAGATGGATCATGGGTCAATTGCTTGCATTGTGTTATATAATTTCAGCTGTAGCACAGCACGATGTGGTTGAATATAATCAAACCTGACATGGTACAATACATTGAGTGATGACAAAGACCACAGACTGTTCACTGGAATTTGTTATACTGAAAAATGCATAATTCCCCAATGAAATGTTTAGCAGTTTATGTTTTGTTGATGAAGATCCAGAGTGTAATTGCTATCTGTGGGTTTTGCCTCTAGGAAATTCACGGGGTATGTAGCCTACATCAAGTTTTGTTCCTTCCTCAGGCCTTTTAGGTGCTGACATTGTGAAATAACAACGGGGTGAATCTAAACATCAGTGTTGGTCTCCTGTTCTTAGGGCTTTTTCCTTGTGGAAGCTCTTGTTTATTGTTTGACATTAGTGATATTAAAGATTGCTGAAGTATTCAGTACAGAAGCTTTGCATAAAGCACACAAAAAATTAAATAGCTGCAGAACTAAGGGACACATATTGCTTCACATAATTAGTATTCTTGCCCATACAAGGTTGTAGGTCAATATCAGCTAAAGGTCAGATTCTTTTCTCTCTTTCTTCTGATGGTAATGAGCTATCCTCAGGAATATCTGGCCTTGTATGAGCAACTGCTGAAAGTTTAGTTAAAACATTTTCCAAACTCCAGATCCTTTGGTAACTGGCTGCTGAACCAGAAAGGGTGTTTTGGTAGCTCTCCTCTTACCAGATTGCTCCTCTTATTGGACTCAGTTAGAGCAGCATGAATGGAAATGATAGGTACAGATATGGAATAATGAGGATTGTCCTGTTGCCTCCCTTGTTTGAAAGATTTGGGTCCCCATGTTCCCAAACTAACTTTGCAGTGCCAGGCAGAAAAATTTAAAAGGTGATTTCTTAGTAGATTTTATTTCTGAATTTTGTTTGAGTGTTTTCCCTGTATCCTGCCAGTTGTTCTCTGTCTGCCTGTAGGAAGGTTTTGGAATACCATGCCAAAGTCTCTTCTGGGCATAAAGTCTGGAGACATGGATTGTGAAAACATATGCATGTATGGGTACTTTAGCATTAATATACTTTCATTTTAAAGTTTCTGCCATAGGGAAAAAGAAAAAAATAATATTGCTAGAGGTACACAGCTGTTTATGGGAGTCCAAAAATTAATGTAGTTTCTAGATTAAATTTATGTTTCTGCTTCCCGCTTCATTGGTACAGGCCCACATGGAGCCTCGTCCAACTGTTCTTCTTTAGCCAGTGTTTTCTGCCTGAAATAGTTATACTATTTTTGGAAAAGAGATCAACTCTCCATTCCAGTGTTAATTACATTGCAACTCTCATTTCATGTGTGGCAGATTGCCTTACAGAGCCGAGTTTAATGCATTTCTAATTAAAAAAATCCAAATGAAACAATATGATGTTACTTCTCAAAGATATCAAATTGTTCATCTTCTTATTTTCACAGCTCACCATGTTAAAACTGGGACCTGTGAAGTGGTGGCGCTTCACAGATGCTGCAATAAGAATAAGATAGAAGAAAGATCACAGACAGTGAAGTGTTCCTGCTTCCCTGGGCAGGTAGCAGGTACCACCCGGGCAGCTCCTTCTTGTGTTGATGGTGCGACTCCTTCTATTGCTTCTTTTCTTTGTGTTCCTGGGAATTTTGCTGGCTTAAGATCATTAATGAGACCCACTCCATTACAGTTAACTATTTAAAATAAGTAGGAAATCTTCTGCATTTTGAAGGAAGCGTCCAAGGTGAATGGGAGAAAGATGGAAAAATTAATTATTTGCTATTGCTCTGTGGAAATGCTAAACAAAATTATTATGCCAGAGAAAGAGGCCTCTTGAGAGGCTAAATTTGATCTAACTAAAAAGAGGACTTTTGGAATTGTATGAAATTCACTTAATTAAAAGTATTTATGCAAAACCTACATAAGCATATAATTTTCATGTACTACAGTATTACATCTTTATATGTTTATCTCACTGGAAGGAAACAAGCAAACAAACAGAACACAGTTCTGTCAGTTTTTAATCTTTTTAGACCTACACTGTTATTCCTATTCACAGTACAATATTAGTGTCTTACTTAGCAATTCTGGTACAGGCTCATATGTTTTATTTGGGAAAATACTAGATGATTTTTCACATCTCTTTCTCTGAGAGAGTGGCAGGATTCACCCTTTACATGATCTCTTTAATGTTGATATGTTGTTGGTTGTCAGAGAAGCTGTAAATATGTCATCACTGGGGAATAAATTTAATCAAGCTATGCTAGGCTATTTACTAGACCAAGCAAAAGAAGAGATTCTACTTAAAACTTTGAAATCTGGCTGAGCAAGATAAAAATGAAGTTGGGAAGAAATGCTGTGAAGAGATTGACTTTGAAGCACTTAGCACCTTTTGCAAATTGGAAACCTAATTTCTTCTGAAGGTTCTGAGGTGGCTGAAAATCACAGACTGGCTGTCAGTCAACAAGTTTCTCATATTTTCCTGGAAAATAAAAGAAATGTTGCAGCATAATGACATCTTAAAGTGTCCATTTCCACAAAACACAAATACATTTGTTTTCTTTTGTAGCTTCAATAGTGGAGCAGAAATGGTGGTGCCACATGCAACCATGTCTTGAAGGGGAGGAATGTAAAGTTCTTCCAGATCGTAAGGGATGGAGCTGTTCCTCTGGGAATAAAGTGAAAACAACTAGGGTAGGTATGATACCAACCTGACATGTTACCAACAAATAAAAAAAAAGAAAGGTGCACAGGAAATTGGGTGCACAAAGAAGACCTAAGTTGAGAAGACTAAAGAAGCATGGGAAGAGAGTTGTACTGGGATTGGACTTCCTGGTCCCTCACACTTTTCTCAGCATACTTTTCAATTGTTTGAACATAGTAAGCTGTGTCCAGACCTTCTCAGGTAAGCACTGGAGATAGTAGAGTTGATCCCTTCAACTAACAGTAATGATCAAATGCATTATAATCTAATATGTATTTCTCTCTGAAATCAGTTGCACTGTGTCTGTACACTTTTCTAACCTCTTCATTCAAAGGGTATCAAACCAGCATATTTTTCAGTGACATGGAATTACCACATTTCTACATAGAAAGCACTGAGCATGGTAAGCATTTGAGGTGTCATTACAGGATGAACTGGTTCTTTCCATCTTCTATAACTGTGATTTACTAAAAAATTTTGACAGATTTTCAGGGAGTTCCTTTCCTCCACTTGACACTTTTCATATTATTGGTTAAAATTTATATTAATAGAAATATATAGCTCATATACAATGTCTGACAAACAAGTAAACATGCTGTCAACTTTGCATTTTAGTGGGTAACAGAAACAGAAGAAAAACAAATTTTTAGATAAGCATTAAACGCACAAACTTCCTAAAATTATGGCATTGTATCTTGTCAGGGTCAACACAATTCTTCATCAACATACAAAAAATGAAAATGTACTCTGAAGACACATATGCATATGTTTAAGTATAAACACCTTCCTCCCTGCACCCCAGGACATGTACTCATGACTGATTTTTCTTTTGTGTATTTAATAGTTTGTAGTGTCAGGCCATAATATGCTAGATTGGTGTTTACTCTAAACAGGTGTTTGAGCATCTATGTAATTTTACTGAAATATTTCTTACATAGGCACTAAATTTCTGGTACACATTGGTTGTGGTGAAATAAAGCATGTACTGACTGAATTATATTTCTTCTGTTCCACAGAGAACTCTATATGTCTCAGTTTCTGTATTTATAAGTCTCCAAAACATTTTGACATTCTTTGAAGGAAGGATGCTTCCAAAATGTTTGCTTTAAAGTTCCCTTCCTGAAGCCACTTTTAGATGTGTTTCTTCTGAAAACAACCTTGCTGGAATGCTGCCCACACTTAACTTTATAAATGCCAATGCAAATCTGATTATATGCATGTAAAATATATGTGCATATAGAATATAATCAAAAAGGAACCAGATTGATGCTAAAGAAATAAAAATATACAAATATATAAATATATAAATATATAAGCAGAAACAGAAATAGAAATAGAAATAGAAATAGAAATAGAAATAGAAATAGAAATAGAAATGTGTGTGTTTTGAAATTTTTCCTGGTTACTACTACACGACACAATTAGTGTTACAGAATACTTGCCATTTTCTATGTATTGAGAGAGTTTAACGAATCGTAAGTAAAAATGTGGACCTGAATTATATTTCTCATGGAAAAAAAAGAGGTTACAAAAAGGGGAAAAGCAATTATGATTGCTTTGATGAGATTTCTTCTTCACAGTTTGTCAGACTATAGGTTTCTCTGCACTGGTTGAGGTGATGAAGTTTTTCTGCTGTTAGGGATCTAAAGAAGCCCAAGGCTCCTGTCCCCAGGAGCTTATGCCTTTGTTGTTGTTAGACTTTTAGGTTTGTGTATTTGCAGCAGCTGGAACTTTCTTGTTCTCCATGGTGGGGGCATTCCTCAGGACTCATTTCATAGCTCTTCCATAATGATGCTTTGGAAAAGCCAGTCCTTTTCTATATGTGCTATCATGAACACTGATTCAGTACGATGGCCACCATAACCTGCTTACAGACCTAGCACCATGGAAAGGGAAACACTAGTCACCTTAAAGCCCCCCTATTTGTCCTGCCTTCCAGTTTGTCCAGATGCTCTATGTTTTCCTCCTTTTCCTTTCATTTCCCACAGAGCTGCAAGGCTATTCTGAGACAATAGCAAACTTCAATTCAAATTCTGACTGCAAGTTTCCCTAAGTCATTGAAACCAGGTCAGTGACAGGTGGAGGAAGGTCTCTCTTTCAGAATCAGTGACCTGTGATTTTAAGAGACATCATTCTGATGGCCAGTAAAATACATATTGCTATTGGAATTATGTGTGGTTCTTTGTGTTAACAGAGTGGCTTATTATCAAAGGGCAAGTAATTTTCCCTTATAGGTAGTCACTACCATATTTTTGTAGCTCCTCTTTCTGCTCCCCAAGGTCTATAGAAATAAAAGGAAAAAATTCTAAATTGCTCTTTTTTTCCAAAATTCTCCCCCTTTTCTTTTGAGAAAAATAAAAAATAACTGTACAGAGAGCCAATATTAAGAAGTTATGAATAATAAGTTTCTGATTGTCAAATGAAATAACCTATATGTGATTATCATGTGTAATGTAAAAGCGTAAAGAAATAAAGGGAACTAAATAGCTTGGGTGATTTAAGTAAATTACAGAAAAACCTTCTCAAGGCTTTCCTGAAAGGCCAAAAAAAAGTTTATCTTCACCTCCAAACATTTTCTGTAAGTTTGCCTTCTTCATGTGCCAAAATCATGACCCAATTACCTGCTGAAGTACTGTCTTCTACAGGATACCAAATTGAAAAGTAGCACCTACATTTCCACATCATGAGTTGTTAATAGTTAACCTCTATGTTAGAAATAAAAACAGTGGAGGAAGGAGGTATTTTGAATGTCCACCTCTGTTTGTTTATATAATCTCACTATTGTAAAAAATTTTGATACTGACTTCCTAATAGTTATGGTACTAGTCACTAAGCAAAACAGGCCAGATAAAAAATGGCAGAAAACTAATTGATTTTTAAAAATGTGGTCTACTTGAGGTTTTGTATTTTGTTCAGTTATGTAGATCTAATAAGGTCATACAAGAATAATGAATTAGAAGTACTCAGAATTCAAACGTTAAGAAATCAAATTTGGAAATTATTTACCTTTAGAATACAAACCTGGGTATTATTTTCCTAATCTGTTTACATATTAGTGGGGAAAGGTTGATATTAAGAATTAACCATAGAAAATAACTGAATATGGGGAAAAATGTGTATGAATAAGATGAGTACTGACTATTTTGGGGCTATATAGCCTGCAGGAGAGGAAGGGAGAAAAAGACACTGACAACTTAGGTAAATCAGTAAATTTTTCTACACCATATAAAGAAATATGGGCTTGTGTTCCCAGTCATAATGCCAAAACAAAAGAGGATGTTTATTAATACATCAGGAGAATTATGAGAGGATTATGACCATAGCTGCAATTTTACCAGGCACACTTGGGCATCCTCCTCCAGGCTAAGAAACTGTTGTGAAAGGAAACTATTGCATTTTTCCCCCATATGGCAAGTCTCAATTTTTCATACATAAACACAAAAATTTTGTCACATTACCCTCTCTAAATGATGAGAAAAGAGTTTCAAAAAAGTGAAAAATCTTTTTTTTTTGTTTTTTACATTTGCAGTACTCTTTCTTCTACAGCCTCTTTCTAATATAATTATTCTAGTTCCAGAAGTTCTCCTTCTTGTTTTCTTTCTTTTTTTTTTGTGTTTCCTTTCTCTTCTTGCAATACAGGAAAGGGTCTGTATTAAAAAAAGTAATTTTCCCACCAGCTGAAAAATATACTGTTATTACGTATAAAACTGAGAATGACATTTTAAAAATTCTCTGATTTTATATCAAACAGACAAGCTCTTTACAAAGAGTGAAAACTAACATTTTGCAGTCAGATAAAAGCTGAAGAGAAAGAATTAAATATTTCTCTTAGTTATAGGGTATATTCCACATCAGAGATCTCTCTCTGGATAGGGCTTTTCCCTGGGCAGATCTAGATGCCAGGCTTTATTTGTACTTTTAGAAAGAGTACATTGCCTGCTACCTTTGTGATACAGGCAGGCTTTACATAAAGTGCCCCAATGTCTCCTGGGGTCCCCGTTCTCCAGGCAACCACCCCGGGAATAGCTTGGAACATGTCATGGCTCCTGGGCAGCTCATAAACCTGTGTGCCTTTCCTGCAGAATTTAGAGAAAAAGAACAAGGTAAAGTGGTGTATGCTGGGTCTCATCTTGAGATTCTGGAAGTGGAACATGACTGAAGAAGTGTGTACTTGCTCCAGGCAGTGGGAGAGTGTTCCCAGACTGATATTTTATGAACATATAGAAAAGTATGCAATGGTATTTCTCATGAGAAAAAGTATAGAAAAAACCAAGCTATTTCAGTTGAAAGGGACATACACTGATCATCACATCTGGCTACCTGAACAGTTCAGGACTGATCAAATTAAAACATGTAAATCATAACATTGTCTAAATGTCTCTGAAACACTGATAGGCTTGGACACCTCTCTAGGAAGCCTCTTCCAATGTTTGACAATTGTCTTGGTCAAGAAAGCCTTCCTGGTGTTCAGTCCAAACCCTCCCTGGTGCAGTGTCGAACAATTTCATTGCATAGTAATGAAATGCTACCTTGTCCTCAGTCTTTTCGTTTTATTTGGTAGAACTGACTGTGGAATGAGGCATAGTTTAACATTAAACTGTGGTTAAATTATGTGGGGTAGAATTTACTTGGGTTAGGACTCTCTAGAGTGAGATAACTAGCCCAAGCTCTAGACTGTCTTTTTACTTTTAGATAGAGTTGTTCAGTTCCAGAGGACAGTTGATTTTGTTCTAAGTCTGATAAATTGTCTTCTGGAGGTGCTTATGCTTCTCAAATAATCTAGAGGAAAACTACCAAGACTAACTTAGCTGCTAATGTTTAGATATTTAATGTTGAATAAGAAGCAGCTAGCTTAGATAATTTAGTCACTTTGATGTGGTTTTCAGCAGGAAGATGACCATAAAGGCCCATTCATTCTTTGTCAGTTTGGGAAGCTGTGGACTTTGACCCCTATCAAATGCAATATAATATAATATAGTATAGTATAATA